ATGGGTGCGGTGGGCGCATGCGAACGCAAGAATTTGAGCCTTCGGTGGAGCTCCCTATGGGGCCACGAAACGTGTGAGGGGTGTGCCGAACTGATGATGATGGTGATGATGATGACGATGATGATCGTGACGGTGATGTTGATGATGGGGATGCTGACGATGGGGAGAGGGAGGGGGGCAGCGGGAGGAAGGACGCGGGCGCTGTCTGTTCAAAACGACGACCCAACACCACAGGATGGTTGAGACAAGAAAAAACAAAGAATACCCCGGCGAAGGACCCAACCATATGCACCTGTACGAACCGAAAGTGTGGGCATCTTCGTCGGTAGCGATCCCTAAGGGGCCACGAAACGCATGAGGGCTCTGCCGGGGCCTTCGGTGGAGCTCCCTGTGGGGCCACGAAACGTGCAAAGGGTGTGCCAAAATGGGTGCGGTGGGCGCATGCGCATGCAGCAAATGAGGGTTTCGGTGGAGGTCCCTACGGGGCCACGAACCGTGTGAGGAGTGTGCCCGCATGGATGCGGTGGGCGCATGCGAACGCAGCCACTGCGGCCTTCGGTGGAGCTCCCTGTGGGGCCACGGGACGTGTGAGGGGTGTGCCGACATGGGCGCGGTGGGCGCATGTGAACGCAGCCACTGGGGCCTTCGGTGGAGCTCCCTATGGGGCCACGAAGCGTGTGAGGGGTGTGCCGACACTGGTGTTGTGGGCGCATGCGAACGCAGCCACTGGGGCCTTCGGCGGAGCTCCCTCTGGGGCCACGAAACGTGTGAGGGGGGTGCCGAAATGGGCGCGGTGGGCGCATGCGAACGCAGCCACTGGGGCCCTCGGTGGAGCTTTCTGTGGGGCCACGACACGTGTGAGGGGTGTGCCGAAATGGGTGCGGTGGGCGCGCTGGAACGCAGCCACTGGGGCCTTCGGTGGAGCTCCCTGTGAGGCCACGAAACGTGTGAAGGGTGTGCCGACATGGGTGCGGTGGGCGCATGCGAACGCAAGAATTGGAGCCTTCGGTGGAGCTCCCTCTGGGGCCACGAAACGTGTGAGGGGTGTGCCGAACTGATGATGATGGTGGTGATGATGACGATGATGATGGTGACGGTGATGCTGATGATTGGGATGCTGATGATGGGGATGCTGCCGACATGCGCGCGGTGGGCGCGTTGGAACGCAGCAACTGGGGCCTTCGGTGGAGCTCCCTATGGGGCCACGATGGTGTGAAGGGTGTGCTGAAATGGGTGCGGTGGGCGCATGCGAACGCAGCCACTGCGGCCTTCGGTGGAGCTCCCTGTGGGGCCACGGGACGTGTGAGGGGTGCGCCGACATGGGCGCGGTGGGCGCATGCGAACGCAGCCACTGGGGCCTTCGGTGGAGCCCCTTGTGGGGCCACGAACCGTGTCAAGGGGTGTGCCAAAAAGGGTGCGGTGGGCGCATGCGAACGCAGCCACTGGGGCCTTCGGTGGAGCTCCCTGTGGGGCCACGAAACGTGTGAGGGGTGTGCCGAAATGGGCGCGGTGGGCGCATGCGAACGCAGCCACTGGGGCCCTCGGTGGAGCTCTCTGTGGGGCCACGAAACGTGTGAGGGGTGTGCCGAAATGGGTGCGGTGGGCGCGTTGGAACGCAGCCACTGGGGCCTTCGGTGGAGCTCCCTGCGGGGCCACGAAACGTGTGAAGGGTGTGCCGACATGGGTGCGGTGGGCGCATGCGAACGCAGCCACTGCGGCCTTCGGTTGGGTTCCCTGTGGGGCCACGAAACGTGTGAAGGGTGTGCCGCACTGGGTGCGGTGGGCGCATGCGAAAGCACCCAGTGGGGCCTTCGGCGGGGCTCCCTGTGGGGCCACGAAACGTTCGAAGGGTGTGCCGAAATGGGCGCGGTGGGCTCATGCGAACGCAGCCACTGGGGCCTTCGGTGGAGCTCTCTGTGGGCCACGAAACGTGTGAGGGGTGTGTGCCGAAATTGGCGCGGTGGGCGCATGCGAACGCAGCCACTGGGGCCTTCGGTGGAGCCCCCTGTGGGGCCACGGAACGTGTGAGGAGTGTACCGAAATGGGTGTGGTGGGCGCATGCGAACGCAGCCACTGGGGCCTTCGGTGGGGCTCCCTGTGGGGCCACGCAACGTGTAAGGGGTGTGCCGAAATGGGTGCGGTGGGCACATGCGAACGCAGCCACTGGGGCCTTCGGTGGAGCTCCCTGTGGGGCCACGAAACGTGTGGGGGGTGATGATGACGATGATGATCAGCACTCGGCGGACGGCAGGTGATGACCACGGCAGTGCAGCAGCGGCGGCACGGTGCGAGCTACGCGGCCTGGTCGGGCAGCTGGAACTGGCCCCTCCCCTGAGCTGGCGCAGAGAGCTCGGAGGCCGCTCTCGAACGCACGCACCCCAACCTCCGATGACACTATGCGACGAGTGCGGAGGGAGTTGAAAGCAGAAAATGAGAAGGTCAAACGCGATGGCAATCGAGCAAATTCGAGACTTGGACGGGCATGGAAGATCGGCAAGAACAGCGCGGACAAGTGGTCCCCGTCTCCCCACTCTGCAGGGAGGAAAGGAAGGCAGCGGGTGAGCACAGGACGAATTATGGGGCAACTCACATAGTGCTCAACAGAGTCGCCTCCCACAGCGTGACATCCGAACCGACATACTTGGGCCCCCTGGCGATATCGACGAGAGGTGGGCCATGCGTTAACGAGCGCTTTGGGTGTAGCGATAGTGCACGAGTCGGGGAGTTTCGAAGCGAGAATAGAGTTGAAGTCTGATACGGTCAGCTTGGTCCATAGACGCCTGAGAATTCCAATATCGAAGCCTAGGAAGCAGAAGACTGGCAGGCGGAGCGTACATTTTTGCCACTACCTTAGAGAAGGTCTTGGCCTGGAGGTCATGGTCCTGGGCCTGGAAAACAACACCCTGAGTCCCCAGGAGATTCAGCTGATTCACCACCTGGAAGAAGACCGAGTCCCGAGAAAAAGGCATCCACCTATACGCAACCACCCAATCCGTTCCAGCCAAGATCTGTTCAAATTGTTGCAGCCTCATCTGAAATGCCTCGCTCCGAAGACCAGCACGGCATATAGCAGAGTGAGCAACAGCGGCAAACGGACGAGGCTGGTGATACAGCCCAAAGTCCTTGAGCTGGCATAGTATCTCAGGGCTGAATGAGTGTCTCGGAGCAGCGGTGAGCAACTGAAGCCCTTCTCGCTCTGCCTTCAGTACACTGTTCGTGACGGTGTGGCACTGGGCAACATAGCTCAACACAGGCTGGGTGAAGATGTTATACGTCAGCATGCTCATACTTAGGCCAAGCTGAAGACCACGAATGTGACGGCCACGTTTTTGATGTTCCTGAATAGGCTTGGCCCAACAGAGCTCTCTCGCATTCAACCCTATGTAGATATCTAGGTACTTCGCGGCCTGCACGATTTTGAATCTTTCGGCCAGGAGCCCATGAGCCCTAAACTTCTCACGAACAACGTCCAGATCAAATTCCCGAGGAAGAACAATGTATGTTTTTTTCCAGATGAATAACAAGACCAGTCACCCTGGATGCTAGTGCAAGCTCACGAAGGACTTTGGGAAGCACGACAAAGATGTTGCGCGCGACACTACCCTGGTCATCAGCGAAGACCAGAAAGTCAGACATGTCATTCTTCAAACATTGGAGTACATATATGTTGATACAGTCAGTTGCCACCGCAAATATGACACCTGACATTGGGCAGCCCTGTTTCACCCCACGCCCCAGGGAAAAACATTGGTCCTGGCACCCGCGGAAGCGGACCCGCACACAAACACCAGAATACAGATTCTTCACCGCATGAACATACCACGAAGGAAACTGGGCTGCCTCCAAGACTGAAAAGATCCACTCGTGCGGAATACTCGGGAAGGCCGCCTTTACGCCCAGGAAGGCTGCTCCAGCATCCTGGCTCCCCTCTAATACTGACCAGAGATATAGCTGCGCATCAAAGTGATAAACATTGTCCAGCAGCTGGCGGCCTCGCACAAAGCCGCGTTGACACTGGTGGACACAGCGCGCGGCATAGTCCGCCATCGGCCATGCGAGACAGGCGGCGATGACCTTGCAGTCGGCGCTCGACAATGCTAGTGGACGCGTAGCTTCTGGATTACGTACCTGTTCAAGTTGATCCCCGAGGTCCCCTTTCGGAAGGAAGACAGCAATGCTCTCCACGACATCGGCTGGAACAGGGTTACCTTCACATACGAATAGATACATATCAAATAACGCTAGCTGGGCAAGGTAACCTCCGTTCTGCCAAACACTATAGGGCACTCCATCCCCACCCGGGGACGAGTCACGACATTTGGTAGGCAGGTCTTGAAAGTCCGTGAATGAGACCTGCCACTGTACATCAGAAGGGGCAGGTTGAACGTGGGCAAGACACCGGGGGAAACGATCCACTGCGACAGGCTGGCGAGCTGACACTTTCCCCGAGTATCGAGCAAGGATGCGCGCACAAATCTGCGGGTCGTGATGCTGGGTGCCAAACTGGTCCGTGGTAACCTGAAGCGCGATCCGCTTGTGCGAGGGAGACCATGCTGCAGCAAGCTCACGAATTCGAGCAACCCGCCCGTCACGTACTTTGAATGGAGCAGGGGAATTCAGAATCTCCTCCTCCATCCTGTTACAGCGCCGAGAATACAGAGAAGCGAGATGGAGATGAAGCCCTTCCCGATCAATCCACCCCCACACCTCCGAACAGAAAAATTGCTGCGGCACCTGATACGCAGCCACCGCCCTCTGGACCAATCGAGTTTGCCCATGTCAAACCCCTCTGACCAGAGCTAAACACCAGCAAATTTGTTCCAGGTCGGTCTCAGGTCCCAGAATCTCTTTCTTCCTCTGAACTCTCTTGGACACCGAAAACATAAGGGTTTTAACCTCCCCCAGGCGGGTCGGCGGGCGCGTAGACAAATCAACTTCTCGAAGCTCTGCTTCAAACCACTTAGCAAATAGGGGCGATTGACTCACCCACGACGGAATACGCGGAGAACATCTAGCTTCAGGATGCCGTAGTGCACAAAATACTGGGGCATGGTCACTCGGAAGCTGACAATCAAAGACCCCGCGCGATACTCCTGCAAGAAGGCACAAGTCCAGAATCTCCTCAGCATACAGTGAACAGTATATCCTGTCCAGTCGGGCGACAGACGTGATGTTTCCCTGTTGGTATGTCCTATGGGCGGGGTCCGTTTGGCACAGCTCAGCATATCCAGGACACTGCTCCAAGAAAAATCTAGCCAGGCCAGAGTTGCATTTTTTAGCTTTTCCATCCAGACGCTGACGGACCTAACCAACTTCCGAAAAAAATGAAATCACCCAGGATATAGTTAGCACAGCAAGACGGTGGGGGAAGGCGACGGTTCAGCTGCTGAAGGAACGCTTTCTTGTGGGAGAAGGGTAGAGCGGGGTCAAGATGCACACTTGCTACTGCCATAGCCTGCTCGCAAGAACGCATGTGGAGAATAAATAGTAAGCCTGCCGTGGACAATTTCTTCAAGCCAGAGCTGCTTGAACAACCCACACACGCGCTCGTGCACGATCGCGAGACATCCACCAGCAGCAGCACTAAGACAATACGACGGGAAAATACGATGATAGGGTAGCTTACGAATGAGGGTATCAGTATCAGTAGTATCGCCATGAGATTCTTGAACAACCACAATATCGCGTTGCTTGGTCAGTCTATACAACTGCTTAAATTTATTAGTAATAATCATATGCTCACCATGCACGCTGCCAAAAAGAGCCTGGGCATTCCAGGTCACGAGGGACAGAGAGGAGGAGGGGACAAAAGGCACAGAGCGAAGAGTACATGCTTGCCTGTCACTGACGGCCACAGGGCTACTCGTAGCCAGAGTCGAGGCCGATGCCGATGGGGAGGAAGGAGAAGCGGAAGCAGCACGGCTCCCCATAGCCGTGCATGGAACAAAATGTTCAGGTCGATCTTCTGTGGTCGATGGTGCAGCAGCAGCCCCTTCTAGTTGCCAGAAAGCCGTGGGTCTTTGGTGATCGAGGCCAGCAATTCCTCAACCTTGTCCCTGCTCACTCCCCAGTTATCAAGGTTCGTCGTGTTCGGGTCGAAGCTGTAGCCGCATTGCTCATTATCACGGATCGTGAATAGCTCCCATACCTCATCGTCGGTGTACAGGTTGATGAGGCCCTGGTAGCCGTTGACGCCCAGCCTGCAGTGGGACATCGCATCAACATGAGGGCCGGCCTTCAGGAGCTCCAGAGTCTTGCCGTAGATGACAGAGGCCGCGCGCTGTTTGGCACGAACATCCAGAGGCAAATCTGCACGACTGCGAATGTTGTGAGAGACTCGAGTGCGACGATCAACCCAGTCGATGTCTACCTCCGAGATGAAATCCTGGAATCGTTTCGCGAGGAGCTCGTTGGTGAAGATAAGCTGGTAGCTCTTTACAGACCCCGAGAATTTGGTGTTGCAACCCTCAATCACCCCCGCGGTAGATTTGGCACTATCTTGGTATTCCAGTGCATTTCCATTTCTTTGCCCAACAATGTGCGCGGGAAGAGGGTGTTGAGCATCGCCTGCATCTGAGCGCTGGACATGGACATTGCTCTGCTCAGATCTGGGTGGAACGGCGCCGAGAGGTGCGAAGTGGGAGGAACAGTCCAGGCGTCTCCGTGGTAGTTGCTCGGGCCTCCCCGTCGGCTGCGACCAAGGCTATAATGCCGAGGTACATTATAACCTTGAGCCAAAATGGCTACGGATGTGATGATGATGATGATGATGATGATGATGATGATGATGATGATGATGACGATGATGATGGTGACGGTGATGCTGATGATGGGGAGAGGGAGGGGGGGCAGAGGGAGGAAGGACGTGGGCGCTGTCTGTTAAAAACGAGGACCCAACACCACAGGATGGTTGGGGGGAGAGGGGAGGAAAAACTACAAAAAAAAACAAAAAAAAAAACAAAAAAACAAAAAAAAACGGAGCCCCGCACGCGCCGCGACGCCCTGTCTGAGAGCCAGACGCCGATGCGGACGCTATGGCGGTGGTGAGCTGCGGGAGGCCAGTTCTTCGAGGCCCGCGCCCTCCCTTGCCTCTGCCCACCTGGCTGGAGGAGTACGAGCAGCAGCCAAAGCAGCAGCAGCGGCGGCAGATGCGCGCGGAGCAGGGGGCGGCGGACCAGCAGCACGCGGAGCGGCGGCGGCGGCGGCAGCTGCAGCTGCACACAGCTGCGGCAGCAGCAGACCGAGCAGGCGGAGGAGGGAGGACGCTCGGGAGCAGGAGTCGGAAAGAAAGGCAGTGAGAGGACCGGCGCAAACACAACTCTGTGGCGTCGCAGCCACGCGCTCAGCTGCGTAGCGGAATCAAGCCAGATCTGGGGAGTAGGCGCGGGTGACAGGCGAACGCACAAGCATGGATCAGAAAGACTGGCTCTGCCAAAAGACAGCACATATGACGCCAAGGAAACGATTGGCCGACGCTAGGGGTGTCGGCTGCAATCTCCACCGCCCAGCAAACATAAGTGAGTCAAACGCTCGATACCAACAACTTTGACAAGGTGCATCCAAAAAGCGAGCTCTTACCAAAGCCGAAACAGCTCCAGACCATAAACATGGTGCCACCCAAAGCGTCCCAACTCTTGAGAGCGTGTCGACCCTGAACCTAAAGTTTGTGATTGCGCTGCTAAAACATAAAGTCTGCTTAAGGTCGGCGCTCAACCCTGACGCGAACCACAATGCGGGGCGCGCCCAGGCAACCCATGAATCCTCCGCCTTCACGATCCTCCACTAGGTTTTTTGAGCCGCACATCAGCTGCGAGTTCAGCGACATGAACAACCGCACGTGCGTTAGTATAGCCATCAGACGTTGCCGCAAGGCGGTCTTCGAACGTTCAACGACACCCTTTCGTTTGACACCATGTTTGCCTATAATCCGACTAGGACCTGAAGTGCAGTCGACAGCTAGCCTTGACAAAGGCCGCTCTTGCTGCCATGTTTGTAGACACTCTTCGCAGAAACCTCACGATCCACAACAGACACATCGAGCGTCCTGCCGTTCCAAACATCTGGTGGAGCAGCTGCCTCCACTGAGCCCTTGCACTGAGCCCTTGGAACTGGAGCTTCAATGTGGTACCATTAAAGCGAGATCACAAATTGCTACGTCACCCAGAAGCTTGACGCTTGCTAATGTATATCCGTACTCCGAGGGCCTCAACACAGGAAGAAGAAGGATCGCACAGCACACAACAAAGAGGAGGTCGGGGCCCACCTGGACATCACGAGACCATCAAGCCGCGCAGGCAGCGCGGCCCCGATGACCGGGAAGGTCGGCGTGGCGAGACCACCCCCGACATGGGGTGCGGCGCCGCGCCGACCGCGCGCGGGCGGGGGCGGCGTGCCGCGGACCGTTGCCCCATAGGGGGGGCCGTCCGCGCACCGATGACACCTCGGGGGGACCCGAGGCCGCGGTGCCGAGTCCACGCTGACCAGTATGTTGATCAGAAGATCTCCGAACCGAAGAGCACCAGGAGTGCAACGACCCCCCCCCCAGGATGTCTGACCAGACTGGCTCGTACCTCGTATCCTCCACGTGCGCAATGCTGAACAGCCCTTCGCGCAAACCTCCGTGCGTTTGGGTATGGATGCCACCTGACCCCGACATCGACCAGCGCATCTGCGTTCAGATCTTGTCTACGGGCATCTGCGCTTCGGCTGAACTGACCCCGAGCGTCAGCGCCACCAAATGCTGATGCTGGCCGAACACACAACAGTGCCGCTTGCCACGAGCAGACGTGCATACGTGCATACTCAGCTGTTTTGTGTGGCCTTGCCCACGCCGCAGCACTCCTCCTCCTCCTCCTCCTCCTCCTCCTCCTCCTCCTCCTCCTCCTCTCCTCCTCCTCCTCCTCTCTCCTCCTCTCTCCCTCCTCCTCCTCCTCCCCTCCTCCTCCTCTCCTCCTCCCCCCCTCCTCCTCCTCCTCCTCCTCCGTGGAGCGACAGCCCCACGCAGGCGCAGCGGTGATGCGAGGACGGTGCTGCCACGGCGGCCGAGCGCGGGCCGCCACGTGCAGAAGCTGGACACAGACCAGCACCGTCCGGCGGCGCGACCTGCCCCCCCCCCCCCCCCCCCCCCCTCCCCCCCCCCCCTCCCCCCACCCCCCTCCCCCCCCCCTCCCCCCCCCCCCCCCCCCCCTCCCCCCCCCCCCCCCTCCCCCTCCCCCCCCCCCCCCCCCCCCCCCCCCCCCCCCCCTCCCCCCTCCCCCACCCCCTCCCCCCCCCCCCTCCCCCCCCCCTCCACGCTCCGACGAGGCCACTCCAACTAACCATCACACATCGCGCCAGCCGCTCGGGCACCTCATCGGGCGAATGAACACGACCTTGCGCTGCTCGGGATGATAGCGAGGAGCGCACGTTCGGGGCGAGCTTCCATCATGGCAAGCAAACGCTCATCGCGGTGCCAGCACACACACACAGAGACCTTCTTCCAAAGCGACTGCTGCCCTGGCAAGGATGGCCAACAAATTAACGGCTGGATCATTTGGCCGATGGGAGACGATGTTACCTTCCATTTCTGACCCACGGGCGTTGTACAGTATCGGCGCGCTCTGCGGTGACGTAACAAACAACATTTACACTTCATCGGGCGTTGCTGGTCACCCAGAGCACACTCGCGTCGGCGAGGAAAGGAAAGGCAGGAATAGTCACAGTCAACCATCACCAATACCCACTAAGTCGTCGAGGACGACTATTTATTCCTCAAGATCTTGGTGTGTGCGTAGATCATGACCAGATACACCGGCACCGACTACATGTTGATCTAAGCTACAAGTGCATCCGACGCGTATTGATCTATGGAGATGGGAAGGGGGATCGAGTCCCCCTGGCCAGCGAACCCAGCCCAATCGACCAAACCATCCAGGACACCTCACAAGCATGTCCCGAGAGAGACCACAGCGTGGCTCGAGCGAAATGGCAAGAGCCCGACGGAGCTGCGGAAAGGCAGCCAAAGATAAAGAGGATGAAGAAAGCAGCTGAAGCGGCGGCAGCAGCAACCGCAAAGTGTGTCCTGAAGGTTGAGGGCGTTCAGCGAGCACCTCGTCTGCTCCAGGCGCGCGATCGACTTCCTGGACTTCACGACCTCGCAGGGGGTGGACAGACGCGCCGCGCAGGAAGCGGCGGCACCCTCGGACGAGGACCACCTCTGGCTAAGACTGGCTTGACAGGCCCAGCCGCGCTGGACCCCGCTCCCTCTCCCACGCCGCATCCATGAGTCCCTGTTCCCCCTCCGCTGCGGTCGGGGGGGGACTTTTGCTCAGCGAGTCGCGGGCGGCGGCCCCGGCGGCACGTTGTGGCCTGCGAGTGCATAGCGTGCCGCTCCGCTCCGCTGGGCGGGAGGCCTCGCAAAGCTCGGGGCGCTGACGCCCAGGGACCAGAACGTCGGTGGTGTGTCGCGCCGAAGCGTGCGCCGGCGCCGGCGCCAGCGGGGACGCAGCGACGAGTACCACCACTATCACCACCACCACCTCCACTACCACCACCACCACCACCACCACCTCAACCCACAGCCACCACCACCAACCCACCACACAACCACCACCAACAAAACAGCCACCACCACCACCACCACCACAACCACCACCACAACTCACCACCACAAAAACCCACCACCACTACCACCACCACCACAATCTACCACACCACCACCACCACCGCCACAACCACCACCACTACCAACAGCACAACCCACCACCACCACCACCACAAACCACCACCACACCACCACCAAACCACCACCACCACCACCACCCACCACCACAACCACCTCCACAAACCACCGCCACTACCACAACCCACCACCATCACCACAACAAACAATGACCAAACCACCACCAAATCACCACCACCAGCACAACCCACCACCACCACCACCACAAACCACCACCACACCACCAAACCACCACCACCACCACCACCCACCACCACAACCACCACCACCACCACCACAACAAACCACCACGCCACCACCACCACCACCACAACCACCGCCACCACCACCACCACAACCCACTACCACCACCACCACCACCACCGTCGTCCTCGTCGACGCTCCCCGCCGCCGCCACCTGCCGCCGCAGGCGCCGGCGCCGGCCCAGAAAAGAAAATCGTCGTCCCCGTCGCCGCCGCCAGCCGCCGCCGACGCAGGCGCCGGCCCGAGGAGAAGGAGAAGGAGAAGCAGGGAGGGGGAGGGGGGGTTCGAAACCACCCCCCCTCCATCCAGGGGGGGGGGTTCTGGTTCGAGCCCCCCCCCACCCTCCAGGCGACCACAGGACGCGCTCTTTCGGACCTCTGGGGTCGGGCAGGGTCGGGCCTTCGGCCGGGGCGCGGAGCCAAAAAAAAGCATGACTGCCCGTGTTGGACATCCATTGACAACTCCCTGTCGCTGCAGTGTTACCCCGAGCTTCTTATGAATCCACCGGGGGACAAACGTGAAAACGCGGCGCGGCCAACGCCCCCCCAGCACCACCCCGCGCCCCAGCGGGGAAGGGAACGAACCCCAGACCCCCCCTGGCACCCCCGCGGATGCGCCGCGGCCAACCCCCACGGGCACTCCAAGGGGGGGGCGATTACTGAGCGATCCAGAATACTTACAAACAATTTCTACATCGCAGAGCGGGAGGGGGGCTGGGTGAGGGCATGCTGCTCTTTGACGAAGACCTTGCCCCGAGTTGTGGGCGCCGCGATCGGCGCGTCGACCTTCAAAACCAACCGCGAGTTTTGGCTCGGGGTCGGATATGTCGTAACGAGCCGAATGCGACCATGGGTCGGAGCCGTTTCAAGCCTCAAGGGCCCCTCACCAGGCCCCAGGACCGCCAAAAAACAGCCGGGGATGAAAACCCGGACACAGAAGGGTTTCGACGCCTCTGGGCGCCCGCGTTGCGAAAAAAAGCACGACGTCGAAGGTCTAAGGAGGCGCCCCATGACCTGGGAATGTTTTAGTAACTTACAACTCAGGAATAAACAATGGCACCCAACATAGTTGTATTGTCAGGGACCAAGGGGGGAAACAAGTTTTGGTCGCAGCGCTGGCGGACGATCTCAGCGCGGTCGGAGCGGCAAACTGGACAACGGAATCGTGAACGGCGCGCAAAAACGGGAAAGCCAAGAGGAGAACGGGCGCGGAGGCCGGGAGGCGAACACACACACACACACACAAGTGGCCATCCTGCACTGCGGGGGGAGAGGAGGGGGGGCCCCGCACCAGAGCCCCCCCCCTGGACTGGGACCCTCCGTCGGGAAGCCGGGACACGCGCGAGGAGCCGGCGGCGGCGCGGCCTGCTTGGCCAGCGTGTTCACGCTCTGCAGCTGGCCCTTGTTCGCCATCTGCGTGATCTCTCTCTTCAGCTTCGCCTCCTCCTGAAGAGCAGGACGAGCCAGTTTTCCACCACCACTACCACAGGTAGGAGAGGGAGGAGGAGGAGGAGGAGGAGGAGGAGGAGGAGGAGGAAGAAGAGGACCTCCCCATCCTCCCTTCTTCCTTAGTTTACCTATGGCAGTGGTGGTGGAAAATTGGCCCATGAAGAGCAGGTCCCAAGCTGAACAGGAAGCGGCCAGAAGGTCTGAGCTGGACGGCCCCCCGGAAAAGCTGTCAAGACGCGAGGTCACGAACAAGTCCGCTCCAACTCGATCATTGGACCCCTCCTCACCCTCCCCCTCCCCCTGCTCCCTCCTCCCTCCTCCCTCCTCCCTCCTCCCTACTACCTCCTCCCTCCTCCCGCCTCCTCCCGCATCCCTCCTCTCTCCTCCCTCCTCCCTCCTGGGGTCGAAGCGGACCAGTTTTTCGAGCCGCGTCCGCGTCCAGCCCCGTGCAGACGAGGGGCCCCCTTCTTTTCCCCCCCTTGCTGCTGGCAGGAACCAGGTCTGAGCCACCTCGGCCCCCCCCGCCGGCTCCAAGCTCCCAGCACCCCAGGGAGAGAAGGAGGAGGAGGCCACGGAGCCCCCATGATACTCGTCGTCGAGCTTCAGGGGTTGCAGCTCGAGCCTCTGGCGGACGCTCGGGACGATCGAAGCACCCACAGACGCCGCTCGGCGAGGCGCCGCGGGGGGAAGGCATATCTGGAGGAACAAACAAATGCATAAACAAAAACTGTTCAAGGTCCGCGCGGGATTCTTGGATCTGCTTGGCGGCGCCAGAGGCGCCGCCAGGGGGGGCCCAGCGCCGATCCAAGAAACCCGCGCGGAGCGCCAAAAGCTTATGTTTATGTCGTTTGTTTTTCTTCGAAGACCCTGGCCGCCCTCGTGGCCTCGGGCTAGGTCGGGCATGTCCTCCTACAGGCGGATTTCCAATGACAAATCATGATGGCAAGTAAACACTCAAAAATAGCCAACAACATACGTTTTGGGGCCTATGTTTGAAAGTTCCTCCTGCAGGGGGATACATGCCCGACGTACGCCTCGGGGCGTGCAGCCCGCCGCCCCTCGCCGAGAGCGAGCCTCCCCCGACCGGGAGGCTGCGGCCGGCGCGTCTTCCTCGGCACGTCCGCTCCCGCCCGGAGCCGGCGCCAACACCGCCGCGGGCAGAGCCACCACAGCCAGCACGAGAGGGCGTCGAGGGGCAGCGACCCCCAGGAGGAGGAGGAGGAGGAGGAGGAGGAGGAGGAGGAGGAGGAGGAGGAGGAGGAGGAGGAGGAGGAGGAGGGAGGAGGAGGAGGAGGGAGGAGGGAGGGAGGAGGAGGAGGAGGAGGGGAGGAGGAGGAGAAGGAGGGGAGGAGGAGAGAAGGAGGAGGGGAGGAGGAGAAGGAGGAGGAGGAGGGAGGAGGAAGACGAGGGATGAGGAGGGGAGGAGGAGGAGGGGAGGAGGAGGAGGAGGAGGAGGAGGAGGAGGAGGAGGAGGGGAGGAGGAGGAGGAGGAGGAGGAGGAGCAGAAGGAGAAGGGGAGGAGGAGGAGGAGGAGGAGGTGAAGGGAGGGAGGGAGAGGGAGGGAGAGGAGGGCGGAGGAGGAGGAGGAGGAAGAAGAGGAGGAGGAGGAGGAAGAGGAGGAGGAGGGAGTAGGAGAAGGAGGAGGAGGAGGAGGACCCAGACCCCCGGAGGAGGAGGAGGAGGAGGAGGAGGAGGCGGAGGAGCAGAAGGAGGAGGAGGAGAAGCAGAAGGAGGAGGAGGAGGAGGATTGTACTGTAGCGCTGATGCCCTTGAGGGTAGGCATGACCCTGTCAGTCGGATGGGACACATGGGCTCTCCCATCCTGGGGCGGTGCTCGTGAGGGTTGGGCTGGCAACCCTTGTAGTCCCAGAGCCTGTGCGGGGACCGTTGAAGGCACCGTGTAATGGTGGACAGTACGTGTGGTCGACACGCCCGAGACAGCCACCTCTGTTCGACGCATGCGGTTAGGCGGTGGGGGCTTCGCGACAGGTGACGTCGCCGCCTATCATGCAAGTGATGAGGCGTGAAGCGTGTCACATCGCCTGGCCGGAGGATGAGCTGGCATCCCCCAGAATTGCGTCAGACGCTGACTCCCTAGCCATGTATGGAGGTCCTGTGGAAGCTCACCGGGTGCTACAAGGTCAGGGAGGCTTGCTACACCTAGCCAGTGCACTGGTGAGCTGTCCAGCTAAGCATTGTAATGAGGATGCCTGGAGGGGGGGGCACGATTTGTCCGCCCCACCGGGCGCAACAAACTAGAATCAGAGCGCGCGGCAGCGGGCGAGAGACAGAGTCCGAGTCGCTCTTTGCTGCCACGAGGTCGAAGCAACCGCAGGACACCGGTGAGCTGCCCAGCTAATAGGTGTTCTGCAGGTGCCCCAGAGGGGGCACGAATTGACCGCCCCGCGGGGCGCAGCCGCCGTGCCCCGGTGAGCTGTCCAGCTAACCGGTGTCCTACGCGTGCCCTGGGGAAGCACGATTTGCTCGCCCCACGGGACGCTGCCGCAGTGCACCAGTGAGCTGATCAGCTATCCGGTGTTCTGAAGGTGCCTGAGTGGGGGGCACGATTTGTCCGCCCCACCGGCCTTAACAATCTAGGGCCATAACGTGCGGCAGCAGGAGGAGGAGGAGGAGGAGGAGGAGGAGGAGGAGGAGGAGGAGGAGGAGGGAGGGAAGGGGGGGAGGGAGGAGGGGAGAGGACGGGGAGGGGAGGGGAGGAGAGGGGACGATGAGGAGGAGGAGGAGGAGGAGGAGGAGGAGGAGGAGGAG